ATGCTCTTTGAATAATTGGGTAACTTTTCGTCATCCTTGCTACCCTAGGTGATAAAAATTAGCTAATTGTTAAGATTGGACTTATAAGAAATGTGGCAGTGAGTATTAGCAAAATATTAACTTTCCCGCTCTTTTTAAACCAAAAGAAAAATGGCTGACAAAGAATGTTCAACTGTAAAAGATTTGGGTAATTTTATGATTTTATAACAATAGTATGAAAATGACTAATCAAATATAGATTCAGAAGTTACTGACATACTTGAACATTCTGCATGTCTACTTTGTGAGAGGTAAAATGTAAGTATTGCTGTTTTATTCCAGTTTAGATGGGCAAATCTTCTTTTCTTTGTGAATTTATACAGTCAAACTGGTCAAGCATAAATGTGTTATGTATGACCAATTGTACCATGCAGTAAAAATTATAAGGTATTTTATAAAGATTATGAAGATAAATACTGCTGGAGGCCTAGCCTAGAGGGTCCTTCAATAACTATGAGCCTTCTGGCCTTCAGGACAATTCTGAATGGGTAAAATTATCAGTGATGTCCCATAATAATTGCTTATATCATCTTACATACCCAGGGCCAACCTAAAATGAAAAATTTGCGTGAGATTTCCAAAAATTGTGGTACTTTTACAGGAGATTTTTCCAAAATCTGGTAGTTTTAAAAAAATTGGTAGTTTTCGCCGTAGATTTTTAAAAATCAGGAGTTTTTTAGGTGAATTTTGAAACAACTGGAGTTTTTACGGTAGATTTGAAATAAAACGGTACTTTTTTAAAAAAGCGGATTATCTCCAGTTTTTTTCTAATAAAAGCAATTGTTTTTGCGGTAAATTCTGCAAAAAGTGGTACTTTTGTGGGAGATTTTTGACAAAATCTGTATAGTTTTTGCAAGAAATTTTGAAAAACTTTGGACTTTGCCATGAATTAATTTATACGCTTTGCATGGCCAGATTTGAATATTCACGCAAATTACATATACGTCACACATTTACTTCGAATTTGTGTGTCCCTACCCACCTAATTTAAATATTATTTAATGTTTTTGGTTCTTATAGTAGAAAATAAATTTTGTAGACCATAATGCATCTTGGGTAAGAGTAATGCAACAAATAGGTTTTAAATAGCTAATAAATAGGTAATACTCTGTTAATTCTTAGCTAACGAATACCTAAAAAATTTATCATGCAAATTAGAGAATATTACCACAATAAATATGTACAATATTTAGGTAATATTCTGTTAACATATAGCTTATTATTGGAAGATAATCAATACATGATTATTAGATTTCTAATTTTACCTAATTATTACAATGTAATTTTCATTTAATAATCAGTCAATATTCTACATGAGCGTTGAATGTTAACAATACCTTATTATTAACACCTATTTATTAACGTAATTCTCTCTAATTTGCATGATAAATTTTTCAGGTATTTGTTAGCTAAGAATTAATAGAGTATTACCTATTTATTGTCAATATTTTCCCATTGACTTTTTTCACTTGGGAGTGTAGGATAATAAGAACATTCTATGATTTTTTTCAGAATATCATTCTACTCGGTGATATTGATATATGCACTCGTTCGCTTCGCTCTCTCGTGCAGATATCAATATCACCTCGTAGATAAAAATGATATTCCTCAAAATCATAGGATATCCTATAAATATCTACTCTAAGCTTATTAAAGATTCCATATTTCCATAGAGATAAAGAGCGACCCCCCCCCACAAAATTATTCTAAAATCATGCAGTTTTTTCACAATTCTGAGCACCTTTCCATTGATTTGGACATTTTGGGGTCTAAATTGTCAAAAGTGTACCCCTCTGGAATTTTTCCAAAAGTGAACTTGCCAAATCATTGATATGGGCTGGGTCTCACCTTATCCTAGTCTATCCAATTGACCACACTTGTCCAGTTTTAAATGGAAATGATAGACCTAATGATAGCTATAAAATCTTAATATAATCAAATGCAAGCAACAGATTTGGTAACATCATCTACTGATCTAGGGCTAATAGATCTAGTGCTAATAGATCTAGTCTATAGCCATAGGCCTGGGGATCCAGCTAGGCATACATGTAACTTAGGCCTAAGCTTAGATTAGTGTGATGTTTACCAATTCAATTGCACAACATACGTGGCATAACAACTTTTATTCTCACCGTATCTAATACATGAGGGTAAATCTGCCCCGTAGCGGCCTCGAGAAGACATAATGTGAATAATATTTTAATGTCAAACATTTTTTAGTATTTTAAACATTCGCGGGAAAAATTGGCTTCCCTAGCAACTGACATGGAAACGTGGAATTTCCTTAATTAAATCTCCGATTCGTCAGGTTTCAACATATCTTTAAATTAATGGAATTGGAGGATGTATAATTTGATAGAATAAACAATTATTCTTGGTTAGAAAAACGATTTTAACGAGAAAAATAACGAAATCCTAAGGGAATCCCTCGGAAATTCCTAAACTCCCAGCAGGCATAGCGATTGACCGGGATTCCCCAAGAATTACGTCATCGCTAGCGTTTTGGTTTTGAGACTACAGAAATTGTCCCTCCCCTTTGCAAAATTGAAAAAGATTTTGCTACATTTATAAGCGAGCATTGATTTCTGGGCCTGTAAAAAGCACGTAGGACCTGATTACCCCATTGATTTACTGAGACCGCCAAAAATTTAATTCAATTTTTTGGTTCAAAATAATAATCTGTCAGCGGTCCCTGACACTCCTACTAGCTATCACCAAACATTAATTGCCAATACATGTACACATATACGTGCCATACATCTACAAAGTAGCGAACTAGTGTATTAAGTACTACTTTTCCTATACGATGAGCAAAACAAATCTCAAGTAGGTTATATTGACCCTATTAGTGTCATGGTTGACTGAATATGCATTTTATTCAATATGAATTTAAAAGTTCGGGGTTTTATGAAGTGATATGTACATTTTTGCTCAAATCCCCTCAGCACTTTTGATTCTATAGGGTTCTCTTGACCCCTGGGGTCATTATATTTTGTGACAATTTATTCCAGACTAAATGTAGTTATTTTGTCATTAAAATATCTTATTAGAGAAACGTTCAGGAAAAGTTGCGCTATCCACAAGACTTCTTGTCACTGCACTGATAAATGTAGCAAAATAGTCAAAATAATTCAGCCATGAGCATGAAATTTTTGAATTTTTGGACAAATTTTGGGCTATTTTGGGGGATTTTTGCCCATAACGATACTAATCTACTTAAAACAGCTGTTTAAAGTTGTACAAATTGCTTAAGTGATTTATATTCTCTCATAAGTAGGACTATTTGCTACTTTACTAAACTGAACATCATTGATTTTTCGTTTTTCATGAACTTCTGATGGCTAGTTCAAGTAGCATTGTCTTTTGTGCAGGTTTACTGAATACGTCCCTTTAAAATTGGGTCTTTTGTGGGTTTAAAGGGTCAAAATGTTGGAACTTTGCACACTGTGGAACGTTTGGGGTGTGTTTCCTTTAATTTGGCAAGAACTGCATCAAATTACTTGATAAGAGAGCAGAAATGTAGCAATTTAGGCTGAAAAGTACTGTTTTCAATGAAAAAACGAAAATTGCTGACTCAGCAAAATTTAGATCGTCGTCTCCAGAATTTTAGGGGTTAATTTGCAAAACTTTAAATGGTCCCATAGAAACATATGCGAAATATGGCTAAATTCGACATATTTCTCGAAATTCACTGATAAATGTGGTTGATATTAGGTAGAAAGCAACTTACTTTTTCACCCATTGGAATACATGTAAAATTGGCAAAGTTCAAATCATAATTTCTCAAATCCCAGCCCATCGAATCCTCACATCCATTCAGATCATGTAGTCCTATTCAAAAACTTCCCGTTCGGTTATATGGTGAAAAAAATATCCCACGAACGAAAAAAGATTTTGCTACATTTATAAGCGAGCATTGATTTCTGGGCCTGTAAAAAGCACGTAGGACCTGATTACCCCATTGATTTACTGAGACCGCCAAAAATTTAATTCAATTTTTTGGTTCAAAATAATAATCTGTCAGCGGTCCCTGACACTCCTACTAGCTATCACCAAACATTAATTGCCAATACATGTACACATATACGTGCCATACATCTACAAAGTAGCGAACTAGTGTATTAAGTACTACTTTTCCTATACGATGAGCAAAACAAATCTCAAGTAGGTTATATTGACCCACAGCAGATTTTTTTAAAGAACAACATCTAACAAGTTCAGAACAAACATATAAGGGGGTGCATATTTAAAAATACATTTGATGTGTAGGGCTAAGCTTAATTCAACAGAAAAATCAAATATCAAGAAAAGCATAAATTGCCCATGTAGGTAGGCCTAATGGAATGTCAATGTATATAGGCAGATGTTTACTCGAGTCTCTAGGCTATAGCTTAGACGAGAGGAGATAGAAGCATTCTCGGCCAAGGGGCATTCACGGACAAACCCTTGGTATCAGGTGAAAATCTGGGGCATTGTTAGACTTTTTACAATATGCAGCACCACATAGATAATATGTGTCTAATATGAAGTTTCAATAAAGAAACCATATAAAACAAAGGATTATTGAAGATCGTCCGACAATGCCCCGTGTCTGAGATTACCGCTGTGTCCTCGAGAAGTCTTTGGACCTAAGTAAGCAGATCTAATCAGTAATTTCCAGTTTAGAACCTCAGTGCAGCAATTTGTTTGACAATTACCGATACACGGACAGCATTGTCTGGATCCCTGTACCGTACTATAACTGCCACTAATGTATAGCCTGAATGTCAAATAATTTCTTCTTGATGTTCTGATTGTTCTCATATGTGTCGATTCTGTAGAGCTACTATTTTCAATATTAACATAACATGTCATCTAGGCTAAGGCTAAAGATTTCATGAGCTCCTTTCATTACTTGTTCTTATCATATTGCTAAATACTAATGAGCGATTTGTTCTCAATTCAAAAAGATTTGCTTTCAGGGTCGTTGGATCATGAAACTCCACAAGAAGATTTACTGGACAGTAAACCGTATAGCCTCAACCTTCTGCATAAAGCTTCAGGCATTTTCACATCACTTTTCTCTGGGGAAGCAAAAACAGTGCAGGAACAGCTGTCTTGGCGAGAGCAATCTGTACTGTATTTACAAGAGACTTGGTTCATCATCATAGAATTTGGAACTTTTACTCGGAAAGCTGTATCAGAGACTGTACATTATGCCATCATTTGTAGCAGCATCAATTCTTCCAGATGTATCATATCTAAATCCTTGCTGATCTCATTGATGATATGTGCTGTCGTGTGTGATGTGTATTTCACCTGGAAAGTTTGCTTTGGTGGTAAAACACAGCACAGAAATGCAAATAAAAAAGTTAAACATGTACAAAGCATTGAAAATATATCACATAACATTAATGACACATATGATACACAACTGAAATCAAGACCATTGAAATGGAAGACAATAGTTTTCATATGTGCTTTGATATCAGCTGCCATCAGCATTCCGTGGGAGTTTATTCGCTTGTACCAAAATGAAGTTGCTAAGAAATCATCAGTGATGTATCAGGTAATGTCATTAAAAATACAGGGAAAACAGCAACTTCCTATTATGTAATAGCAAATTCCAACAAACAATGCTCAAATCATCCACATTGAAAACAGTGCATCGTAAACTAAAATGTAAGTTTCCTTTTTAAGTGTTTTAATAAAGGAGGAGGGAAATTAGCGCAACAGATTTTGGACAGTCATATGTTTGATTTTGGCCATTTCCTGGGGATTTAAACAGGTGCATATGTTAGGCCAATGCATTACCTCCAGTAAAATCACTTCTAGAGATGACACACAGTTAATCCCTTTAAAGGAATAAATGATTCCTTTTAGATAAAGTGGAAAACAATATTTCCCATGTTATTTTCCCATAGGGAAAAATCATTGCTTTCAGCTAAGTTTGGTCACCTATAATGGGTATCTTTAAAACCCCTGAAGGAATCACTTATTCCTTTAAAGTGGTTAACTATGTCTCAAAACGCAACATATTGATGCAAGAAAAATCAAAAAAGCAGGGATGGAAGGGGTCGAAAATTAGGAAAACATTTCAGAAAAAACATGTGGGTGGGTTGTTTTCATCTACCCTGTCTCACCCTATCTTCCCTCCTCTATATATGATATGTTTTGAACTTTATTGATTCATTATAACCCGAGAAGTCTTACTGGGACCAACAAACTCAACTCCTCTATTCAATCAAACAGTTATCTGCAAAAGGAATAAACATTTAAAGCAAAAATGGTGATATTCCTTGATTAGTAGTAGTACAGCAATATGCATAATTCCATTTCCATATATGTTTGCAGGGCATGCCATCAGATTGTATCCCAAAAGACATGACTGTATGGCAATCTTGGAAATCATGGTGCATGTGGCAGCTTTCATGGGAGGACTCTCCTTGTGATAAATATCATCATGCTCTACTAGTCGATCCTTTCTGGGAGGTTACTCCTATGCTGGTATGTATGTATGGAATTATATTATATAAATTGCATGGAGTTATAATGACATAAATGTATGAGAACAATAAAATTAGAAATGCTTTACCTCACAAAAATTTCTGTAAGTGACCCCAAGGCCAATGTTTTAATAGACATCAGGGATCTCGCCAGGCTTTTAGAGTCCGGCGCCCCGCCGATCTCTCTCATGTTCAGACCTGATAGCGCCAGTGTCTAATGCTAAAATGAATGCCGCCGGTCTCTAATTTTTTGGGATTTTTTTTTCAATGGCTTTTTTCATCCTCTTTAACTTCAGTTTTTGAGTTACAACTTCTCAAAACATAATATAAAGTGTTCACTTACCGTACAGATTCTAATTTTCCAATATAAGGTCTTAAAAACAGGTGATTTTCAATTGAAATCATCGTATCATCAAGAACATTTTTGTTTCCTTCATGTGATATGAAGGGAGACATCTATTGAGAAAATAGTAGTAATTGATTCCAATAAACATACTCCCTCCGATAAAATTTGGCAATTTCCATTTTATCATGTAGATTTAAATAATTAAATCACGGGGAGGAACCTCTTAAACGAAACAGCCACTATATTAGCTTCATTTAGGAATGTGTTTAGTGGGGGGCGCGAATGTTGAATTTTTTCCGGGTTCTAAAAATTTTCTGGTGAGAACCCTGGACATACTGGTAACATAAATGGTACTTGGTTAATGCTATCATATACAGTAGTTTTATTCTCCAAACCTCCAAACGCAGGGCTAAAGATCCAGAATATTAAATCTTCCCTTTCTCCCATGCTATGCTAAATTGCTAATCAATTTAAAATATCACCTTGCAGTCTTGTACCTGTTTTAACAACTTGAAACAGTCTATAGAACTCTGGATCTTGGAGCACTATGATTGGAAGATGAGTGTCAGTTGGTCAAATGTAAACAGAATTTGTATTTCTTTTTCAGGTGCTATCCTCAGCATTCACCAGGTGTATCACCAAGCCATTTGAAATAATATGTAGTGCAATAGGACGCTGTTTCAAACTCATCTTCAGTGAAATACCATCACCATGGCAACCAGTTGTTATGCTCATCATCACCTTAGTAACAATGATATCAGTTGCGATGGTTTGTAAATATCGAATACATTTTCCATTGCTTTTAAAAATTGAACCAACAAGGACTCCTATAATGTCAAGGTCATATTCGACATTATCAAGACGGACTATAGGGAGTAAAACGGGAACATCATGCAAACAGTGTTCTCATGACACAAATAGCTTGGGTGATTATGAAGTAATACCTCTGCATCAAAACAAACAGCTTCTTGATTCTTCTTTAGAATTGAGTTTTTGAAGGATGTATTCTGTTCAAATTCAGTGCCAAGTAAAAACTGAATCATCATAACAGGTAATTTTATGACTACAGGACTATAGTTGTAAAATTGTGTTTACAACATCTAGTTCATTCATGATTTAAAACATGTAATTATAAACTATTTTTTTAAATATATTTATTGTTGTTTGTTTTTCTTGACCTACTCAGAGGAGTTTGTTTCATGTGTTTCTCTATTTCAATGAAGATACTGAATTCTCCAGATTTTTTACCATTTTTCCATAGACTATATGTTTTCGAAGCAAGGTGTGCTGTTGTTGTACCCATTATGAAAGTTTGGTTTAATTAAGTTGGTCTTTAAACACTTGTTACATATTTAAGCCAACACTTGTAATACCCACTATTCCTTCATGATGACCAGAGTTCTTTATCTGAAAGAAATGGGCCTGATAATTTATTATTATTATATACTCTAGGACAATTCCCAAAGATGACCTTTGTATTGGCACGTCCGATAACCAATTTTATGAACATGCCTCATTCATATTTGCCATTGAAATGGATGTCACAATATTCGGTATTTTTTATGAGTATTCTCTACAAGTTTGGATCGAGTAACTTCAATAGTATTACCATAGTTTTGAAATGATGATATTGAACTGATGTTTAAATAATAAACGCCATTTCCACGATTTCAAATTTTACTTTGTGAATGTGCAGCACAGAGAGCTCAGGATTGTTCAGAAATAGTGACTGCCACATTTTCTGGAAATAGTGTAAAAATTTTCCCATTGGGAATGTCCTGTCCACTGACATATCAATGGCAGTCACTATTTGTATACCATTCAACAACATTAAGCGATGACAAGAACTTTGTTAAACAATTATTTTATTTTTTTATATAATATTGCACATATTCAAAATGTCAATACAAACAAAAAAATATTAAATATACTAGTATATTACAAACAAGTCACCTGTAAAATGGGTCAGTAATAATACTCCCTTAATAAAAAATATCATTTGGAACAAGCTTTAACTTGTGCCATTATTACAATAAAAACTTATTTTCTGTAAATATTGCAGTTTGATAGAAATGCAATATTCAGAAATAACAATTGTTAAGAAATATGTGCATGCACCTTTCTGAATTTAGAACTTGTCTCCTACGAGGTGAGCTGTAAAATTATATTACTGTAAAACGGGTAATTTTGACACCGGGAAATTTTAGCGATTTTTCAATTTCAGGGGGTTTTAGCGTGGGAAATTTTAGCGAAATGAAGATTAATCTTTAAAAAATCAAATTAGCGAAATGCATTAGAAATTTTATCATTTATGGCAGAAGAATGAATAACGGACATGACAGAGGAATTATCAAAATGTAAGACTTCTAACGCACATGGTATTGGTCCAAACTACTGTAATCTCATCTGACTAATCACAAAATCACGGTAGCATTTAAAGTCGTTGATTTTTCGGTCCAAACTAATCTCAAATTTTAGCGCCCGGTTTATTTTAACCCTGGTTTATTTTAGCGAATTGAATTTTTAGCGAAACTATAGCGATCGCTAACAATCGCTAACAATTACCCCTCGCTAACAATACGCGTTTTACAGTAATTTAATTCTATTATATTCATTTAAGGTCAGAAATAGGGTAGTTTAGAGAATACAACACCAAGAAAATGCATGCTGGTGGCTCCCAGAGGGTATACACATTTTTCACCAAGTGCTTTTTTCATCTCCAATCAAATTGCAGGATTCGATCACGTGAACAATCATGGGCACATGCTCTCTCAGTGCTGCGCATGCGCAGAGTTAAATTTGAAATCGTGGGAATGGCGTTTACATCAGTTCAACATCGTCATTTCAAACCTACGGTAATACTATTGAAGTTACTCGATCCATACTTGTAAAGAATACTCATAAAACTACAGTGAAAATTTGGAGATCCATTTCAACGGCAAATTGAGGCCTGTTTATAAAATTTGTTTTCGAACGTGCTAATATGATAGGGCATCTTTGTCTTTGGGGAATCTCCCCCCTGGCCAACACGGTAAAATACCGAATGGCGAAAAAAGCGAACGCATTCCGTTCGGTCTTTGCACGCGATTGCCGTTTATGTCACGCATTTGGTGCAAAATATGTGTATATATCACTCATTCATGATTTGTTTCGAAAATATTCACATCTACTATATATATTTTGCAAGTGGATCCAAGAGACCAAGTGGGCAAGTCAATTATTTTGCAGGGGTGGCATGATACAGATTTCAATTTTGTATATAGTGAATTCCCAGTGATTGATTTCAGTACAGCAGTACTGTCAACCCCCAAAGATTTTCTCGCGGGACAGATTTTTTAGACCCAGTGCCAAAAATTCGCGGGATTTTGCGGGACATCCACCTAAATTCGCGGGACATTTAAGGGATTCGCGTGATTGCGCTAAATAGGTCAAATTTTGATCAAATTAGCGGGATTTCGCGGGACCATTCGAAAGACAAGCACGCTAATTACGGAACAGTTAACAGGGTAACCACCAAAGACTTCATAGAGGGACAGATTTTCAAAGACAAAGTGCCCTAAATTCGCGGGATTTTGCGGGACATCCACCTAAATTTGCGGGATGCCGCAGGACATTCAAGGGATTTGCGTGATTGGGGCTTAATGTAAAAGTACTCGCGTAGTAAAAAGGCCAACGTTGGAACTATTCGTGACAAACATCCCAATTTTCGTAATTAAAATGAAAATGCACTCTCTTCCTCTTTATTTTGATACCAAATAACGGCATACTAGGTACTTGATAAGCCAACTATGGTGTTATTTGGATCAAAATCACAGTTTTATGTATGCCCTTTCCAAAAGCAGTCTTCGATGATCGACGCACTAGGAGTTTTGCAGCACTTTTCATATTAGGTAAACTTTACTCCTCAAAAGCGAAAAAACTTAGCTTCTTATATCACAAGATAGTCACAATTATTTAGCCTCGGGGATTGTTACAATTTTGAAAATTCGCGGAGGTTAAAGCCGACATTTGCGGGACTTCGCGGGACATTGCGGGACACGCGAATTAGCCAAATTTTGATCAAATTCGCGGGAAAATCCCGCCATTCGCGGGACACTTGACAGCTCTGGTACAGTAAAACTGTCATAGTGAACAACTCTTTAGTGAAGATCTGTGCCCAGTGACATGCCTCTACTCTATTGAACACCTGTGTAGTATTATAGTGAACACCGATTCCGTCCCAGCCAGTGAGTTCAGTACAGTAAAAATATCCTAATGAACACCTCTTTAGTGAAGATCTGTGCCCAGTGAAAACATGCGTCTACTCTATTGAACACCTGTGTATAGTGAACACCAATTCCCAGTACAGTAAAACTGTCATAATGAACATCTCTTTAGTGAAATACTGTGCCCAGCGAACATATGAGTATACTCTATTGAACACCTGTGTGTAAGCGAACACCAATTCCCAGCCAGTGATTTCAGTAACTTTTAGAGGGGATTGTACCTACAGTAAAATCTGTCTAATCCAAGGGACCAGCTCAGAGCGTTCGGATTAGGAGGTATTCACATTTTGAGGTTTTGCATTTGCAAGATTTGGGTTTTTGAAGAAATAGAAACAAATTCTCAATAAATATTATAGTTCTTTTGACTACTTAGCTTTGGCATTAGAGTGACATGAAAATCTGATTCAAATGAATTTAGTCATCCTAGAAAGCCCCACCATGAGTGAGATCGTTCAAGTTTTTTTCAAATATTTGATTAATTTATGGAACATGTGATATTTTATGTGTTCAGATTAGATAGGTTAATTTTCAAACATGACTGTTCACTGTCAAAATTGGGAGATGTTCATATTTCAAGTTTTTTAAACATTTGAGTCAATGGGAGAAAAAACGGGACCAAAAAATGTTCAAATTGGGAGGTGTTCGGATTAGCCAAGTGTTCAGATATACAGGTTTTACTGTACTACAATTGTTTTCAATCTTTTGGAGGAAAGTGTACATCATTCCAGAGAAATGACAGATGCACTGTATATACAGTGATCGCCTACTATTAAAAGTGCGTGATCAAAGACTCGACAAGATGCGCAAAATTCAAATATTTTGTAACGGTTACTTTTAAAAGATTTATTTGTGTTTATATTACAGGCTACTGGTGATTCAATTAGGTTTTGTAGGCACAAGAACACCCATATGCTTTGAGAAATATATATTAGTTTGACCATTTTTCGTATATGTTATTGATTTTACAATTTAAAGATATAAATGCAATACAATATGTGTTATTTTATTTAAAAAGCTTGAAAATATCAAAAACAATAGAACATTTTTACTCTCTTTAATTTTTTATACTTAGGTAGGGTCTTGGACTTCCATTTGACCATGATGAAATTCACGTTTCCCCTTCAATAACATGGAATAAATATTTTAACACAGAAACGAATGGATCAGCCAATAGCGTGAGTTTCAGCAAACCATACACCCATATCTATATGCTTTTCAAGAGAAGAAAATGGGGATCTCGCAAAATGTATGTCCAAACTGATTCAGTCAATTAAATGGTCACTGTGTGTGTGTTCATTGTTTTTCTGCCTACATTTGAATACATTACCATTAAATGATATACACTGAACCTCTAGAACCTGCTAAGTGAAACACCTCTTGAAGCGTAACACCTTACAAGTGGAACCGTTTTTTAAGTTCCATTTTAGTCCATTTATTTTACGCCTCTGATCCCAAGGTATGAGAACTATACACCTTGGCATCCAAGATGATTGTCGAATTGTAATGTAATTGTAATTGTAATAAAATATAAAATCTGAATTGTACATTATCTATTTCATTGGGGAGTTAAATCATTCTTTTGCAGCAAGGTATCAATAAGTAATGTAATGACGTAATAACCTTCAGTAGATGCCAGTAGTCAGTTCCCAGTTTCACCACGAGGTGGCTAACTTGGGTCATATATAAATGACAGGTATAAGGGAAAACTCATCTAAGGTATTCAATATTCAGTAGATTTATTGATCAATTTTCAACTAAGGTCTATAAGTGATTAGCTTGAGAATTTTAGAATTGTATGTAATCGAATGCAAAATAAACGACCAGTGAGCGTTTTTAGAGAAACTCTACAAAATGTGAAATAAATACCATGCTATTATCTCTAATGACAGAGTTATGTGGATCGATGGGACCGAGTAAAAGTTCCAGTTTAGGCTTTGCTCAGA